TAATAACAATAGTAGCAGGAATAGTAGTAGCAGTAGTTGTAGTAGCACCAGAGGAAAAAATTTGGAAATGATCAACTGACCACAAATTCAAAACTACAAATTGACAAACTCACATAATTTTTAATAATATAAGCACTTGGAAAAAAGGACAAAAATGTTTTCCCTCAGTCCATTAAGTAGAAGGCTAGTTTCTCTTAAGTCTTGTCACCACCAGTACGGTAGGTTGCTTGGCAACTACAGAAGACTTCAGGAAGAACGACACTGAAGATGAAACGGATAAATTAAATGAGACATATCTTGTTAATCTCTGGTCTTTATGGGTGTTTTTCGGCACAATTAAAGTTGTCGATAGCAGCCATCCCTTCGTCCCTTTTGGTGGTTTTAAGAATTTAAATAAGTAATATCCTGGGGGTTAATTCTTGCCAGAGAGATAATTGTGGTAGTAATAACAATCAGCCCTGTTTATGAGCCTGTGATCAAAGTGTAATTCATGCTCATGAAAAGAAAGTGAAGCTTCATTATTCTTATGAATTGATGATGGAAACATAACTTTGCCTTTTCAACTAATTTTCACACTAGTTTGCACTTTGGAATAAAAATACATGAAGCACTGGTGACACAAGATATTGTTGATTTGAAGGAGAGATGGTCTGGCATTTTTTTTTTCTGGTAAAAAGTAACAATATCATCAAATGCAAATGATTATAGTCATCAACATGATCATCAAGATTTTTCTCACTCATATGGAATGATTCATTTACACTCAGGCAGTGTCAAGTTATCCCTTCAACTTTATTTCCATGAAGTCTTTGTGGATCAACAGAATCCACTCAGATTCCAGCTGCCTGTGTTCCCCGCTGCCTGTCTCTGGTTGGTTAATCTGCCTCAGTGAGCCGTGTTTTTTTAGAAAATTCTGCAAAAGCTAAATCCCAGTTCTGATGAGAAACCAAGCGAAGTGGGTTGAACATTCAGCGCTGCAGCATATTCCGTACTTCAAATGTGATACTTGGCAGCAGGGCAAGACTCAAAATACCTTAACCTCGCAGAACAATAAGAGTGGAATATTGAGTTTGGCCCCAGTACAAATTCAACCTTGTTTTTTCAACCTTTTTTTTTTTTTTTTTTTTTTTTACAGCTTTAGATAATGCTCATTGATCTGTGAAATTATGAGCTACCATTAGAAAGGCCTGCCACACAGTTCCGACTGTGTGAACTTTCAATCACTCTGCTGCAAACCTGAAGCCCAAACGGTAATTTACATTACAATGTACCACCATTGATTTAGATGGAGAGGTTTGTTAGGAGATTCACATCTACTGTGGACGCCCTCAGGTCTATTGTGGGTATTGTTATGATTAAAAATGCCAAGGAAATTTGATCTCAGGAGGCTGTAAATACCAGCAGTCGACGCATGCCAATAGCACAAGCATACAAAATTAAATCTTAAATGCATATTGACTGATACGACTGATCAAAGCAGGACTTCATCCATTTATAATGTAAGGCAGATGTCACTGCTGGGAATGTGAGCTGCATAAAGTTCCTGTGGAAGTAACTGGAAAATGTTCCTCACTGTCTGACTTTGAAAACAGCACCTGAATAATTGTCTTGGGCACGGAATACAGCAGAGAATTATTTTCCGAGAATAAATGGATGTTCTATGGAATGCTTTAGGGAAATATTAGTGACAACAGACGGAACTGGAGTTAGTTTATAAGAAATGTTCAGTGATCCAAATAAAAAGCTGCATCGTTAACCCGATTAGCATTTGTCCTTGGTGTCTGAGCTCCACTGCACCACGTGGCAAACAGATTTTCAGTGTCCCTGAATGTTTCCCAGCTCACTTATTGTCCTGAATACTGCCTTTAAGACTGATATTGGCTTTGCATCCTCACAGCTACCATACTGTCAGCAATTCTAGTAATTATTCTTATTCAAAAACACTTTAACAACAACAACAAACTACATTCTGTTTGATAAACATGCACCTGCCCTTGCCTGAAGACCAATTGGCTTCAGTGACCCCGAGAAGGTTTGTAGAGAATATATGAATGGATATGCTGACATGATATCAAGATTACTAATTTTCCCAAAGATTCTAAGGATTTCTTTTCTGCACAGCAATTGCTTTACTCAATTAACACAAGTGTGGCTTTATAGACATGGAGCGTTCGGGCTTGACTGATCCTAATCAAAACATCTGGCACATTGTGAACAGGAAATCGGGCAACAGAGACCACCAACTCTTCAGCAACACAAATTTGAATGACAAAAACTTATTTTAAAACTGCAATCAATATTATTCTTTCCCCCTAAATTATTTAGAGGTGAAACTTAAGAAAGAAAATGGGACCAAAGAAAATTCCCATTTGGGCTGTGTTACAGGTAATGGTAAAATCCTATTTTCAGAATAGCTAAAAGATAGCAGCAAATGGGACCAGCTACATGTCTTCAGCCTAAACCCCAATGAAGAAGGAACATGACACACAGATGGTTGGCGATCCCGGTAGAGAGCAGCCAGAAGAAAATGAATAAGAAAGAGTAGAAGAGGAAGTGGAGGAATGACTACGTTTAATCTTTTTCATCATTGACAATTTAAAAAAACTGTTATAGATACTTTGATTGGACAGAATCCAGTATTTTAGATATGTAACTACTAAAACTGCATTTTTAATCAGGTCCCTGTAGGCTCTCGCCAACTTATTGAATTGTGTTCGCTTTTAATGAAACAAAAATGTGAGCATCTGATTAGTGTTGTAGTTCAAAGGGCAACGACTAACAAAACGTTCCAAATCACCTCATGGCCTTACACTACTTTTTTTTTATCTGCATCATTAAGAAGATGAAGACGAAAATCAATACTCCCTATTTTTATGTGCATCATGCTTTTTTTTTTTTTTTTTGGAGCCAAGCCCCAAAAGACACAGACACTGCTGAACACAGTGACAACTTTATGAAATCCTTTTACAATAATGTGTGTTTACAGAGTTGTACATGTGATTATATTGGCATGGCAGTAATTTCCTCCATATAATGAAAGCATCTTCAAGACACATTGCCAGTCAGACTCTGTAATAAAATGTTGGGATGGCGACCAACTGCTGTAATATTTGGGTCACAATAAAGAGTTTGTGCAGCCTGTGCAGACGACCCTTTGATAAATGAAAGTCAACTGAATTGTGGCAGACCGCCGGGATGAATAGGAGTGCAAATACCATTAGAGTTAGCAAAGGCAGAGCATGCCGGCTTCAATAAATACACAGAGGACAGAAGGGTAATGTTTGGGAGGAGATTTTACTTAAGTCTGGTACTCGAAAAGAAAGAAAGAAAGAAAGAAAGAAGGAAAGAAAGAAAGAAAGAAAGAAAGAAAGAAAGAAAGACCAACGATGAGTCCCTATATAACGTCACACGTGGACTTTTCATTTGCACTTCTTTTCAGATCTGCTTTCATTAATTCTAGAGGAGATAAAACAAGAAGAAAAAGAAGCAGAAAATCAACTTGCCTGGAGAAACAGCAGCAACATCAATCCCGGAGCACAAAGAACATGTAGTTGTAGAATTTACAGTGCCTGGAGAGAACAGCCTATCAATCTGGCATCAAACAAAGGAAGACAAATACCAGGACTTTATTGACGTTCTTATTCTCTTTTGAAGTCAATCTGCAGCAAGAGATTGAAAACGTGGGGTTGCAGGTTTGTGTATCGTTTTGCATACAACCCTACATATACTAGACGCCGTGACCTGCTTGTATTTTGTATTACTTTATCATCAACCTGTGGTTAAAACTCATACTATTTAGGACATTACGTTGTTATTCATTCAGCTCAGGTCTGATTTAACTTTTTCTTGTTATCTTTCAGTCTTTTTTAGATACCTAGAAACTGTCTACTGCCCTGGGCTGCTGCTCTAGAACATGAATGGAAACATCATTTGCTCTCAGGCTGACAATCAGAAAATCAAAATTAGAACACAATAGTTGCCAATAACATGTCTTTCATTTCATAATTATTTTAAGCAACACAAGAGCTGGAGCAAATCTCAGCAATCCTCAATGAGAGTTTGGACAGTTTGTAAGGCCATCACAGGGTCACATGTGCAGACCAGTAGCCATGTGCATGCAGACTCACGACTATGGTCTATGGTCCCACCATACTAATCCCTAACCTGCATGTTCTGCTAATCTGCACTAAACCAGGAAACCAATGATCTTCTTGTATTTTCATTCATCATACAAGATGAATAAGTATTTTTCACCTGCAAAACTTACATTTTAATTGATGCATGTTCTACCATTGTGCATACTGTTTGCCAGTCCATCACAGGGTGACATGATAGAGACAAACAACCATTCTCACTCACATGGTCGTTAAGTGTGACTTATTAAAAACCCTGTATATTAGTACCCGCAGAACGCAGTGAGAACATGTAAACTCCAAACGGAAAGATCATCAAGTAACACGGAGGATCAAACTGTCGGACCTCTTGCTGTAATGTATGAACACTAACCATCTTTAACACACGTTTGATTTTATAAAGCACTGCCAAACATTCTAGTGATTATGTGCTTGTTCTGCTCTGGTTTCCCGCTCTATTTCTATATCCTCCATGCGGTTGATCGTCTTTTGCACTTGCACCTGCCCTCATCTCTCACTGTCACCAACACACCACCAGGTCCACCCTGGAGGGGAAAACGCATCGCTTCCTTGCAAATAATGTTTCTACACACTGGTTATTGCAGCTCCCAAAAAAAGTCAGTGCGCCGTGCAAAAATTGGGACTGCTATACCGGCGGAGCAGAAGAACTCTTTAACCGAGGTGTGGGGGGGCTGTACCAGGTCAACATAACTGTGGTGACTGCTGGGTCTAGCCACTTAAATTTCAAAGGACAAAATCTGAAATAAAATTTTCCTTTGTAAATGTTTGAAAGACGCAGCTTGGTGCCAACATAACAATGAAGAAAAAAAATAGCTTACTTCCATGTCAATCGTAATTCCTACTAACCTTATACTTGACAGGATGTCCACAGAATGATCTTCTGGACTTGGTTCTGCATGTTTGTCACTTTAGGTGGTCGGCTCCAGCCCTACTGTTGATACTGCTGTGACTGAGCAGTACATGCTGTATTTGTTCCTCACCTGCAGGCATAAGAGATTATAAAGGTTATTATCATTGCTTTATTATATATAAATAAACATATAGCAAAAACGGCCCCATAATGATGGGCCAGTGTGGTGTAAAATACACTTAATTATTTTAAGATTTAACAATCTTAAAATAATGGGAAGTTTAAATTCACAGTTCTGTGCACAAAGGCATTCAGGATCTCTTCATAATTCTTACGTGTCCTTTAGCTGATTTACATAAAGATTAATAAGCGCTGCATTACCTGCATTGTCTCTTCTGAATAAACACTTTAAGTCATGAACAGATGGTGAATTTATTTTAAATTCTGTGTACAGGCTACAATACACGTTTGTGATTAGCCAGCATTGACACTGGGAAGATAACAGCAGTTTTGATATTAGAAGAGCAGACGTCACCTGCTGCTGCTGTAATACTGTACAAGAAAACACGGTGGTTAACGAGCATTTCCCAGATGTTTTTGTTATCATCATTACCATCATGGTGATTGTAACATGGCCTACTGAGGAGCATCTACAGAATTAGAGACATTAGATGATAGCTGTGTCCTACAGGCAACTGAAGATGCTAATGATGCGATATTGATAATCACTTTAAACTTTAACCTAGCTGCAGATGGAAACAATGGAATTCCAATAAACGCTAAATCTTCCAAAGCTTGTTTTGCCTGCTGTTGTCTGAAAACAGACAACACAGTTCCAAGTTTTTATTATATTTATTCATGCTAATGTAAAACAGTGTTTGAGGGTAGAAAATAGTAATATAATACTAAAACTAACACTCCAAGATGAACAGTGTTAAATAAAACCCTATAACTTGTTGCTGGAATAAAGCAGTTTCTCCGCAGTAAAAAGTTAAGACAGAACTTAGTAATGGCTGTGCTGCTGCTGAGGAAGCTCCGATAATGTCCCTGAACCTCAATCTGGGTTTGGTTTTATCATTCAACTAACTTTTATCTGAGTTATCAGATGTGAGGCTGAATTAATCAGCTCCAAGTTCTGGACAAACTGTTGTTTGTAAAATGCAACACAGCTCTTCCTATCTGATCTCTCCTTCTTCCCTGTCCTCCATAAAATAAACCATACTGGCTGTTGGTACTTTACGTTCCTTTAAGATGAGATGAGAACACAACCAGAGTGTGTCAATTTACACTGCAAAAACTGATAACCGAGACAGGTCAGGAATCCAAACCAGTACCAGATAAAATTGGCAAATCACAAAAATTAGAACCAGCAGCATTGTACAGTAAAGTGCCTAGAACTGTCTACTGTGTACAACACAAGATTGTACCAGGAACATGATGTATACTTCTACAGCAAAAACTGTATCAATATAGGGGGATACTGCCAAGAAGTACGTACAGCACCAGGAGTCTGAGGTTTGTCTGCGTTGCAAAAACTAGTATGAGAAAAGTACAATAAAAACACAGTCTGTTTCGAAAAGAAAACAAAACTTAAATTTGATCACAGTCTGTTTCGACTACAAACCAGTAAAAAAAAAAAAAAATCTATTTAACGAACCAGGATTTCAAATGGCATTAGGAATAATTTCACAATTTTCCACTGAATGCACAATATAAAAACAAAAGTATTTCCCCTTTTGCTGAGAAACCACAATGGAAACCATTGCTTTGATTATTTGGTCAGTACTCTGCCAAGCACGAAAAGAAAACAAAACTTAAATTTGATATATACTACATTTATATATGTATACGCACACACACACACACACACACCCAGGATTTCAAATGGCATTAGGAATAATTTCACAATTTTCCACTGAATGCACAATATAAAAACAAAAGTATTTCCCCTTTTGCTGAGAAACCACAATGGAAACCATTGCTTTGATTATTTGGTCAGTACTCTGCCAAGCACGAAAAGAAAACAAAACTTAAATTTGATATATACTACATTTATATATGTATACGCACACACACACACACACACACACGCACACGTGTCCCATGAATAATGACCATCAAATGAACAGTACAAATATATATATATATATATATAATGTCTTTTCTGTTTCTACATTTTTATGGTTCAGTCGACTTGATGCTGTCAAAGTCTGTCTGCTCTCAGGGTCACACTGTCGATGTGCTCATGAATTTACCGGGGTGAATTAGATGCCGAACCTGTTAACAAATCCCTTCAACTCTAGAAAAATTTGCTGATTTAAGCTTTTGAAGAAAAACCCAAATTGGTTTTGTCTTCTGAGATCTGCCCAGAATTCCAAATATCTTCCCGGTCTCCTCTACAGCAATGGAGAGAAATTGATTTCTCCTCCGCCTTGTTAGATTAGGGAGATAATTGAGGTGGTTTAACCCAGACATACCTCAATATCTAATGTCAATGAGTTGTGAAATAAATTGCATAAGTGCTGAGTTTCACACAGTAGCCAATATTTGTGTCTGTGATTATCTACATGCATAGATTAGATTGTCTGGGCCTGAGAAGCCACCTGTAATTAAACTGTTAACTTTGAACAAATTACACTCAGCTCGATCTGCCAGTCTTTATTTAAATGGCCTGTCAATAGTAGGAAATGTTAACAGATGCATCGTTTTAACCACTAATATTTAAGTTTAATTTGAAATCCTAAAATAAAAAACAAGTATCAAAATCAGTGATTGCAGTAAAGGAAGCAGCTGACAGAGCAAACACCCACCACCTACAAAGGACAAGAACATATGGCTCTAGCCTAACTACTTTGTGGTTAACCTGACAAAGAAATATCCACATTCATTCATCTTCTACTGCTGCTTTCTTTTCAGGGTCACATGGGGAGATTCAAACCGTTAGTTTCTCAGTGCAAGACAGCAAAGACTTTAGACCTCAGCATGTCAGGACACATCTCTGAATGAAGACCTGAACGAGAATGAAACGTGGAGTTGTCCCAATGGATTTTTTTTTTTATACAATTATTTGCAATTGTGAACTCACAAATGGTGCAAACCGTCACCGATTGATAACATAGTTCATCAGTAAAATTATCTTTTCTACATTCTGCCTGAACAAAGGCTGGACTGTGTTTGATACTCATTGTATATCTTCAACTTTCATCGTCAACTAGGAACAAGCCTCATTTCACTCTTGCAGTTGCAGGACCTTGGTGTTCAGTCAATGTCCAGGTGCTGTTTACTACACATAGTTATAAATGAGCTTTAAACAGATTACAGTCTGTTATGCTAATCAGAGTGGGTTCCACCTGTATCCAGAGGAAGGTGGAATATTTTCTGTGGAAAAAAAAAGAGGAGTGTTCTCACTCTAGGTATTTTTCAATGCTAATGTTCTTTAGCTACTTGTTTGACAACCAGTCATAATTTACCACATGAGTGTGTTATATTTATGGACTAACATCAAAGCAAGGTCTCTCTCTGTAGCCCTGAGTAGATCGATGCCCCCCGCCCCCTGGGGGGTGGTCTTTGATTGGAAGCACTGATCACCACTTACATAAATGAACCAACGTCATAATTGCTGGTAGTTGTTTATGATCTGTCGGTTTTTAAAAGACATAGTAAAGTCTGGTTGATTTCTGTGTAATTTCCAGTGCTTTGTGAAAGGCACAGCTTTTAGTATTTTGATAGAAATAGTATTATGGTATTATATTATATTTTGCTGTATTTGCATTCCAAATGTACTCAAGCTACATCTAATGTTTGGCTATGAATCAATTTCTCTTCTGCTCCATAAGTTATCTTTATTATGGTATTCAAATCTTAAAATAAATAAATATTTTCACTCGTATATCACAGGATATGGGAAGGATTTTAATTGATGCTATAGACACAATTAAAACTCACCTACATTTTATTTAATTTAAATCTTTTTTGGATCAGTAGTAGTTCAGGGAATACATAGAAACTTAGATGATAGTAGAGAACTACTATCATCCAAGTTGATTTATAGACAAACTGATATTTAAAGAAATATTTTTCTACAAACCCAAATTTCTCTAATTCTCTCTGGTTTTTATATGCATCAAAGAAACAAATTATATTATATATATACATTTTTGTAACTTGCAAACTTATAATAATTTGCTAACGAGCAACCTGCAGTGATACAAGGACATCCACCACAGTGACCGCAGCAACAGCACTGACTACATTGACCACGCCAAAGGACCCCCAGCAACCTCACCAACTGCTGCAACCAACCTTGACAGACCAACTGCAATGACCACTGGACAGACTTCATTGACTGCCCTGACTTCAAGCTAACCATTAGTGGTGACTGAAAGGACACACGTCACGTCAACAGAACCTCGACAAGAACCATAAGACTACAATGATGAAACGACAAACCTCAACAACACTTCAACTGCAACAACACAACAACTACAACATCTGCTGTTAAATGAACCTGTAGTTGGCCCTCGGTTTGACTTTAATGAACATCAGTCACAGCTCTGAGATATCGACAACAATTTTATTTCACTAACCTGTTTTTAGTTGTGTTACACACTGTAGAAGCACGACCAGGTTTCACATTCAACATCACATAATACAGCATATTACTGTGTTCCCTGATCTATGGTAAATTGAAATAAATTCATGAATATGCAATAAGCATAAGCATAATTCCAGCATAAGGTCTCTACACCATGGCCTGTCCAGAGACGATGTCCTTCACTCAGCCCGACTCGACCAATGTCATCATTAATAATGCACACTCCAAATAATCCCACGCTCCTTTTCATTAATATTTGATGCAGACTTTCACTCGCCCCCATAACCTTTCACTTTTCTGCAGCAGGATCATTTACTGCAGATGAAAAGGATGGACATCAGTGTCTCGTTAATTTTTCTTCATGTGCTTTCTGTTACAGGGTCAGGACACAGATGCCATTACCTGGCAGCAAAGCCTTTGCCCGTCAGTCATTGGTTAATAATTTAGTGTTAAATCACCAGTCATGACAGCTTTCCTCTGATAAAGGATGTGGATAAGGCAGGGCACGTGAAGCAGGAAATCAGAGTTCGTGAAATAGATATTTGACTTATTTCATTTAGATTGACAAGAGGATATTGATTATTTACATTAATGAGATATTTCCCATAGTAAATAAATGTTTAACCTAAAACACAGTAAAATACAATTCATATGGAAATGTGCTCTGTGTTGCACCATGCAAAAAATTAAAAACTTGTCTGACTCATGACACGTCATCTTTCATCATTTATCTGTCATGCAGCGACAGTAAAACCTGACATAAACAACAACATTAAATATTTACGGTTCACCATGATGAGCGTGGATAGTCACTGTACGTGTTGTGCTGTTGTTTTCAGATACAGACATGTCATTTTCAGCAAACATTTGTGTTAATCGTGAGATTAAAGGACTTTCCTACAACAACTTAAGATATGCTGCTGGCGGCGGATTCAAGCACTCGACTGTGCGTCCGAAGCACGCGGCCTTGATAAAGATTACTGTGCACACACGCTATTCTCAGCTCGTTTCATATAACACGCACATGCACAAACACATACACATCCAAACTTACGCATATTTCGCTACCGTTGCAAAGGGTGCGCACATTTAGTAACTTCCTTTCAAGTTGCACCTGGAGCTGATTCTCTGCACGGACACACGCCACCTCACCTGGCAAAAGCCGGTCTACGTAACTTCCGCATTCATATAGTCAAATGTCGCAGGCTTTAGGAGTCACGTGCGCATCTTAAATTTGCATATTTCATTACAGCTTTTAAATACGTTTTAATGTGTCACTTACTGTACATGTTCAGTGGTTTCCGTTGGTTCTATTGTCTGAATAACACATTTGTGGAAGTCTACACAAGCTGTTCAGTTCAGGTGTATAAAAAAATACATGTTTGGAGGTTGATTAGTTAAATCTAGTCAACACACTTGTTCCACTCTGTGGTCATGCTTCTGACCTTTCCTCCTGTCACTGATAATTTGTTTCTTTTTGTTGCACACGTAAAAGAGTGTCTTGAAATGTGGTGCATTTTAAATTCTTAAATTCTGTCTCTGTCATTGATGTGGAACCCTGGGGTTCCACATCAATGACAGAGACATTGACTGTGGGCCAAAGCGACACATTGATCAGTATTTAAGTAAAATTTACTTTTCACTTCCAAAATACTGTGAATTCCCTAACTTAACGTGATCATCTTTACCTTCTTGTGTTTATGAAAAAAACTTTTTTTTTTGTATTTAGTTTGTTGAAATATTGGAAAATTTGTGTGATTCTAAACCATATGAAAGTGCCACGTCTCTCACTCTTTGAACTGCACACCTTCACAAATGGAGGAGGCTCTTTTCATGCTGTTCATAAATGGCCCTGTGTGAGAGCTTCAGTGAATTAGATATGCAGTCTTTAGTGTGCGAAGGTGGGTGTGTGCATGCGTGGGTAGTGTAGTGTAGGACAATTTTCACTATCTGTGTGTATGAGCTGGTATAACATTCTTGTACATCCTAGATCAGTGCTGAGAGTCATTGGGCTGCATTTTCCCTTCACTTCAGTGTCAATACAGTCATAAAAACTGACTGTGAATGAATAATTATAATTAGAACAAGGACATTTGGATTACATTAGAAACAGAATTGTATACATGTAATAATAACATCATTATTAATGATAACAATAACAACAACAATAATCAGATAATAATAATATATGTATTTTAATTGTATATAATCATATTTTATTTTTGTATTCTTAAATATGACTGTTTACATCCACTGCTAAAAGATAACTAGTTATTATTATTTTATTATATTATTTTGTTTGTTTTATTTTGTTTTCTTCTGGTACTCCTTTACCCCTCCACAGTACAGCTACACAGGTGAATTTTCACTCTAAATCAATCGTAGGTGTGAGTGTGGGCATAAATGGTTGTTTGTCTCTATATATCGCCCTGGGATGGACTAGTGAACTGTCAAGGGTGTAGCCCACATTTGGCCGATGGCTACTGTCAAAGTTGAACAAATTGGCCCAGGAAGGCCACTAGAAGTCTATTTGTTACACATAAACAAACACAACCTTCCTTAATGATCTTTCTTTACTGTAAATGTCTACGCAGCTTCACTGGTACACCCAGTATTTACAGGGCAAATCTGTGCCCTCTGACTGGAACGATGAAATTCTACATCACACCTTTCTGTGGTTTCATCACACCATACACACGTGTGTGACTCATTCCCAGTAGGTGGTGCTTGAATCAAGAAGGAACACGGATTAAAATAATGCCCTTGAAACCAAGGTTACCTAAGCAGCATGATCAGAGATTACTTTTTTTTTCTTCTACTCTCCTAACAGTCGCAGATCTATCTGCATAATCACCAAGTAACAGACTCCCTGCCAAGACGCTGTGATTCTCACCAACTCCCTGTTTTCTTCTCAGTCACGTCCATCATCACGTCCTTCTTTATGGCTGAAATAATCAAACAATTGATAAGATCGTTTGGTGGTGCTTAGTCGCTGCTGAACACCACCTTTGGAGAGTCCTGAGAAATAGAACTGTCTCACGGAGGCATGGCAGCATGTCAGAGTGCAGCAGCAGTCAAAGGGAGCTCAGGCGAGACAGGCTGTAAGTGGATTCTCCACCTGATGTCGGCATCAGTTTCATCTGACTGACTTCTGTCTTCACTGGTCCCAGTGGACAGGCTGAGGAAGGGACCGGCCACTCGCTCATCACTGCCAGGGAGACACAACTTGATTGGACTTGGCAATCTCTTTCTGTTAGGGGTGTGACCGTAACTTTATGCCTTTAGATGGACACTATCAGCAACATTAGGAGATACTGGGACCGGTCTTTAATCCTCCATTACTGTAAAACTCCCTCATTAATAATAATAATAATAAGTGTATATTTTCTGCTGTACTCCTCGAGCATGTAAAGATCACAAAACAGAAAGTAATATAAAGTTCATATTTATATGTAGAAGGCTGCGGTACCAGAAAATGAAACTACTCACAACAGACTCTCCTGGGTTCACTGATTGTTGTGCATGCAGTTACCTGTCGTTCCATCTCTCCTCTCCTGTCTGCTGGAGGTGACAAGTTTGTATTGATCAATTTTACATGGTGTGTCAGCCGGGAAAATGAAATGGCAGCGGTGTAGTTAGGGGCTTTCCAGGAGGGGGGGGTTGGACATTGAATAGAAAATTCTAAATTGACTTGTGTGTTTTTCATTTTTTACTTTTTCTCGTCACTCACTTTGCTCTGTGCTCTGGAATAACCTCACTAGTTGTGGCAACTAAAGAGAGTTGATGCAAAGTGATGCACTATATTAGAAATACCTTCCACGATTCGGAAAATAACTGTCTTTGTCACAAATGTCCGCTCTGAGGCTGTTCTACCCATGGGTGTCACAAAGTTAAAGTATAACATAAACACACACACACAGTAGCTCTAGGTGGTACATCTAATGTAGCAGATACAGAGGAGGTTCCAGAGGCTTCTTTAAACTTCAGTATACACTAGAGTCAGTAGCAGCAATACATCAGATCTGTTGCAAAACTGTAATTGCAATTTATTGTAACAACGTACTTTCACCCAGCTGTGAGGTAAATCTGCAGATTCCTACAGGCACATGCGCGGTAGTGTATGCCACTCTGTCAGGTATAGTAAACAGTATATGTTTGAGCTAAAGTCTACTTACTTTCATTCCTCACATCCAGCGTTTAAAACCGTAATGACTAATCCTACCAAAAACAACCAACTCTCACCAGTTGACTATGGGACACTGGCAAATGCAATTCATTTGAAACATTTACGGATAAACTATTCTGGAGCAAAGTGCTTCTCCCTCTTCCACCTGCACATCCGGCTGTGATGCATGTGACACTTTACATTTGTTTCCGGCCTAATGTGCAGGAATTTTATAGGACTATTTAAGTGAGGAATAGCCACACTCCTCTTCCCCGCTGTCACTAAAAGCAGGGTGTACTGTATTCGTGCTGAACACTGCAGCACTAATACACACACCCCCCTCTTTTACTCACACACAGCGACTGGGTAGGAGACAGCTCTTTTCTTTTAAACTGTTCTCTGTCTATACAAATATTCACGCACTAACATTTTCTTAATTTTTACCAAGACTGAGAGCAAAATCAATAACCTTCAAGCCTATGGGTACTGCAGCCTTTAATGATTTAGCCCTCAGGCTTGTTTAAAATTGGTTTTGTGCCCATCCCAGGAGTTAAGGGCTGCTGATGGCAGCAGCAACAGGAGGAAGAGGAGGCGGCGGAGGAGCAGGACGTTGCAGAGTTCTTATCAGCGAGCTGCCATGACGAGCTGCCATGGCTGTCAGGCGTTATGAGAGATCTTTTGCCAAGGTAAGGCAAATTCCTCCTCGTTCATTCCTAATAGGAGTGTCAGGCCTTCGGAATCGGGGAGGGCGTGGGGGGAGGGGGGTGTTGTGAGCCTGGAGCTTTCTTCAACTCTGCAGCACTGAAGGAACCTCATGACACATGCAACAAAGGCCCCTCATTGAGATACACAACCCAGTACAGAGAACTCATGACAGACCTCAACGCAATGCATCAGCCAGGTCTAAGGCAGCTGTACTGCAGGCTGAAAATAGGCCCGGGGCTAGTAAGAAGTCTCGTGCTGTGTACCTTGTAAAAACTTGTTATGTGTTACTTCATCCTCTTTACTTCCCAATTGTGTGTGTGTGTTTTTTCATAACCTATTTACTTTAAGCTCCTTGATTTTAAACACAGGAACACAGCATGAAGCCACGTCGTGCTGTACTTTATCAGTTTTACTGCCTAGATGCATAAAGAGATTTTAGCTTTTTCTACAAAAAATAATTGTTGCAAGCTTTTTCCTGGTTCACAGATACACAGTAATACTGAAATTAACGGAGTGGGCCGTCTTTTTGAACTGTAACTTCCAGGCTCAGCTAGTTTACAATGGTGTGCTGAAGCAGTTTTTAACATGGCAACACCGGATGTTTTATTTATTTATTTATTTTATTAGGTGCTAATTGGTTTGGTCATGTTTGGGTGGGTGCCTTGCAGCCCTTGTGTCATGTATGTTCGGTCTACTGCTGCTGAGTCTCAAACCCAGGCTGTAGGAGCAGGTGGAGGAGCGTGGGGGTCAGGTTCGACTCATGGTCTTGTCACTCTTCCTGCGCGGGTCTGTAATTTACACTGGTTTTAATGATAGCTAGAGTTGAGATAGTTGGTGTGATAGAGGATTATAGTAACTTAGAGGGGCCTTATTGAATTATATGTCATATACGGTGGTCCTTGGTCTAGGTAAGTCTAATGTGGTTGATGTACTGTGAGTATCTTCAATTTTAGGTATTTGTCTTTGTCTTTCTTTTGAATACATCCTGTATGTGTGTGCCCATGCTCATTTTTATGGATTAAAAATGTTCCACTTGTTTTTACTTTTCCCATCAGGTGATGTGCGTGTTTTTTTTAACAAATACATGCTGCAGAAGAGTTAAAGGCTGGAAATAGGGTCATGGTCTCCTTGGCCCAAGACACCAAATAGTCTGAAACTACCGCCGCTGATATGTCCTGACATGAAGGCATCATCTTTCTTTGAGCTTCACCTCAGAGATTCGCACAGTTCTGCTGCCTGTGTTTGTAGCAGATCAGATGAATGATGTCTATTGTGTGAAGCAA